GATATTATAAACACCAGCACATATCAGTCTCTGGTGTTTATAGCTTCAGAGCAAACAAAACACATCATTCATAACAGAAACAGCTCGCAATAGCCACAGGAACGTTGCTGCAAGACAGGCATATGTAACGACGACTTAGCGCTCTTAAACGCGTGTGTCATTAAATACAGTCCTCCTGACAACAGGCCAGTGAAAAATCTAACAATCTACAGCAAAACCATCAATTATTATGGGCGTTATAACATACGTGTGCAGCTGGATGAAACATACACGTCGAACCCCCCCAGACGATTTAAATCCCTGACGAAACATACACGTCGAACCACGGCAACGGGTTAATGGAAAATTTAAACTTATTTTAATATGAATTTCACTTTTGTATCAGATTGGCTAAATTTAATCTAGAATTTGAAAGAGAGTTAAATGCAAACTCATTAAATCATTTATGTTGAATGGGGTATAGCTTTGAACTGTGCATTTAAAACTAGTCAGTAGTGACACTTTGGAAGATATAAGACTTTGTACAGTGTAAGCTTCTTCATGCAGAGAAATGAGAAATTGTTTATTTGTGTCAGCGTTGCTATGCATAATATATCTCCCTTTGAAATATCTGCCCTTCTGACATTCATGGTGAATTGTACTTCTCTAGACATCTGTTGAAATGTAGACTTCATTCTCCATTTTGAGTTTTCCTTATGAAGATGATAGTAAAGAAATAACACAGTATTTACTTCCTTAATTTTTCTTAATCTGTAATGGAAGAAAAATCAAGAGTTTCGCAAATGTGCCTGTGTATGGCTAGACAGACTTTCTTACTTTGTCATCTTGAACATCCAGAGTGGGAGTTGAGGAAGGAAAAGGATAGATGGCTTAAAGTAGCACTGGAAATTGGGAAAAGTGATGCCACAGGTAGAATTGTTTCCAGATGTCGTTGTTGACACATGTTAAAGGCTGTCAGCCAGAAGTGAAGGGGGAAGACAGACTGTGTTTACCAGACATAAGCCAGTAAAGGAACTTGGGGGGGAGGGGCCATGAAACAGGGTTACAGACCGTACATGACGTAAAGAACAATGAAGTTGAGTCATTTAAATCTGTAAGGAACTATGATAGTGATGCTGTTAATATTGTCATGTGTTGGGTGTGTCACATGACAAATAACTTTACATGGGTCTCGGATTTAGTGAATCTTTATTAGACACTCACACTTACACATCTTACAGTTATTACCACTTGCAGTATCACTTGACTTTTGCCTCTACTTCGATGCTAATACTGTCCTTGGCCGTGGCTGGATCTCAACTGTCTTCAGCGACAATTATCCGAAGACCGTCTTCTTCGTACATGTCATAAGCTCTGCTTATCTAGGTGTTATGCGGACTGGATCCCAGACATCATTCGTCACGGTTCCGTTACCACTATATCGATGGTCCATTGTTACACAACAAGCGTAACAAGTGTAACAAGCTCTCTTTAGTTCATCGGGGAGACCCGTTCGTTGTTTTGGCATTGTCTACGCAACGTCTCACTGTTATTGCATTACTATGGATCTACTCCGTGTTCAGCAATCTGTTGCTTCGGGAACTCTCCTTGTAGAATACTCTGGTGGCGTGTTTTGTCTCTTCCATTGTTACTCAACGACAATTCGTTGCTACGATTTGTCACTGCGGGAACTCCCCAATTTCCACGTATTCTTTGTCGTGGAAGTGTCCATTCTGATTGTAGCGGTTGTCGCAGCAATGAATGTAAGGTAACACGTCACATTGCTCCCTTCTAAAGGTTGTCTGTCCCCAAACAGCCTAACAGTACTTCCTTTGTTTTGTTTCCTAAGGTGTTCATCTTCCTAACAGTACCTCCCCCCTCCTTATTCTAGAGTGCTCGCCCCGAGCACTTCTGTGGTCCCTTGGTTGTTGATTCTGTCGTCTCACATTCATTCATCACTTTCATACTTCCCTCATTCATCCTTACTGGGGAGGCTGGTGCTTCTACTACCAGTTCCTCCCATATGGGCTGTTTCCTTTTTTTCGTTTTGGAGGGGGTCGACCCCTCCACAGTGTCCAATTTTTGACGTTTGTATTTGTTGCGATTCCACGCAGCACATCTGCTGGTGTACTTGCACATGCTTCGTTTTCTCAGTCTGCTTATTGTGTCTTACTCAAACTTGAGTCGTTCTACTTCTCTTCCTTTCATGACGAATTCTTGTGTCATCCTCCGGAGTTCAGGTTATTCTTGTGCTCTTTCCAACGCGTCCGTATGTGGACTTGTGCGTGATTCCAGCTGATCTCCCTGAAGTTGAGTCTCTTGCGCTGTGTCACACTTCCGCAGCAAGTCATCTTCTTGTCGGCCATGACCAGTCGCTTCCTCGGGAATCCACCAGCTCCCTGAGTAAGGTTCTTCTTCACAACGTCTCATGCGTCATGCCACTGTTGCGTGACGGGACATCATCTTGTCAGTTTCCTGCTCTTGCCATGCCAATTCCGCACTGCGGCTCGTCCCTCTGTGAGCGACAGCCAGTCTTTTTCGGCCCCCACCCTGACTCTGGGTCTGTTCATTCATCTGGCAGCGGCGCTCTGTGACCAGTTTTTGGTCCTTACGCCTTTTCTTCAGTTCTCCAACCGGTATTACTTCAGCCTCTTTTATGGGGACCTCTCGTTGCTCTGCCGCCTCAGGTTTTCTGTCCAGTGAGGTCGGCTTCTTCTCATGTTGACGTGCCTCCATCTCTTGACAGGCCGTCGTCTTTATGTCTTGCTCGGGTTTGGCTTCTTCCCGTGCGGCCTTTCTGGCCACTTCCATTCCCTTGTCTCATGGTGGCCATCACTTCTCGCCATGCTTTTGTTTCTGCTCGAATGGCTTCCGTTTCTGCGTCCATCTTTTCTTGCCAGGCTTTTCTATGGTGCCCGTCTTCGCCTGGTTGGCATCCAGCATTTCAATCAGTAGTTGAATGTCTTGGCTTGCTTATCCATTTTTTTTTTTTTGGCAGGATGACACTCGATGTGGCGTTAGTGCAAGAAAGATGGCTGATCAAGGCATGCTTGTTCTGCCAGCTACCATTGTATTTGAACAAAGTGCCGAAGTTAGGGAAAATACCCACCATGAGGAACATTATATCCTGACCCCATGAGGGATTCTGAAAATCGCACAGATTGTAAGTAACTCATTTGACATGTTTTCATTATTGTAAAGGAACAAAATGACCTACTTTGAGTACGCTTTAATGGCGTAGTGTTTAATTAGTTAAGCACAGGGACAACTTACCTTTTTTACTTCGATTTTTTGGTTCACATATCAAAAGTGGCAAGGGAGATGCCAGGTAGAAGTGAAGATCTAGATCCCGAAGGGAGGATAACTACCGCCCTCCCCCCAAAGTCTTTATATCTTGACCCTATCTGGGGTCTTGAATGGCCTACAGATTGTACTGAATATCATAGAGATTGAAGTAACTCATCTGATACGTTTTCAATAATATACTCGTAAAAGAACAAAATCGAACCTGTTGATGTTATTTGGGCACTTATGTAAATGTGTTTGTAGTCTCATGTTGGATTTTTTGGTTTAGGTGTCAAGCGTTGCAAGAAAGATGGTTGATGAAGGTATGCTTGATCTGCCAGCTACCAATGCAGTCGAACAAAATGCCGAAGTGGGGAATATACCCACCACAAGGAACTGTAACCGATTACTCCTTTTTAGTAATATACTTCGCCTAATTTATGCATACCTTCATTTTTATGCAACTCATATTTTTCAGAACTTAAATTATGAGTTTGGGTGAATTGTGTACATTGCTACGCATTATAAATTTCTGTGAACTATGTATTGAAAAGGGATGACTCAGTGTCTTGTGGCAGTCTTGTGACTCAGTGTGTCACGAAACTCGTGATTTACAAGGGTTGTACTGAAAGTCATGAGCAGCAATTTTTTGTAAAGTAACATGCTTTATTATTGACAAACCAAATACACCACCTCAATCTACAGACCTTTCTTTATTTTTCAACATAATCGTGACTTCTTTGTACACATTTCTCCCAGTGTTCTGGGAGTTTGGAAATTCCCCTTCTGTAAAATTCTGTTCCAGCCATCCGAAGACACTGACGCACTGCTTTATAAATTGCCTTCCTTGTCTCAAAACATTGTCCACGCAGCTGATCCTTCACAAATCAGAAAAGATGGTAGTTGGAGGGTGCCAGATCAGGGCTATAGGAGGGGTGTGGAAGAACTTCCCACCCCATCTTTGCAATTGCTTCCAATGTGAGGCCAGTGGCGTGGGGGCGAGCGTTGTCATGCAGGATGATGATGATGTTTCATCCTGGATGTTTATCGTGCAATGCACAATGGAGCTTGTGCAGCGTCTGGATATAACGAGCAGCATTGATGGTTTCCCCAGGTTCCAGGAATTTGGCCAGAATAAACCCCTCTGCTTGAATAAGTTCTGCCGGAATTTGATCATTACCTGGTGATTTATACCGTTTCAGTTTTGCAATAGCACTTTCAGCTTCAAAAGTGCTAGGATCAGGTCATAACGGCCCAGATTTCCAGTATTCAATACATTTTTTTGTAAGATATGTTACTTTTGCCATGTAAACCTTTCCATTACTGAACTGGAATATGAATATATACCATATTTTCAGTATTCATTAAATTTTTTTAAGTTATGTTACTTATTCTATATAATCCTTTCCATTACTGAACTGGTGAAGATGAATATATCAGATTTTCTTATATCTTTAAATGCAGTCTTAATCTTGTCGACAAGGGTGTATTTCACAATCTCGAATTCCATCATTCTAATGAAAATAATAATAAATAACATGAGATTTGTTTCTTACAATACATGATTTGTAATACTTAAATGTAACCAAAAAACTATGTTCTGTATGACTTTCACTTGTAAGTTATGATGAAATTATGAAGTTAATATATGTATCTCTGATGGAAACAGAATTTTCCATCAAGTTTCCCCACCTTCAAATTTCCTAAATACAAGTATTCCATGTATGTTACAGTTCACAATGTTCAGTGCCTTTGGTTAAAGAGGTTTCATGTGAAAGAAAGGTTAGAACTTTCCAGGCGCTGGTGAGAAACTTTCTCCAGATAAATAATTTGCAACCTAATATCTTGTACTCCAGAGCTGTAGAGGTTCTTATTCCATTGCTGTTTTTTTGGAAAAGGGACGGGGAACCAAGTTCAGTAACACATCACTCAAATGCAACCCAAAGGATATGGGTGAAGTGGTATTGAGCTTACTTATGAAGCTGAGCCCTTCTTGAGAAGCCGCCAATTGTGCAGCCACTCAAGAATTTTCCAGCCTTTTCTGGAACCCAGAGGTTCATTACTGTGTTCACAAGAGACCTCCACTGGTCCCTATCCTGAGCCAGATAAATCCAATCCTATCTCTCCAAGATCTATTTTAATGTTGTCCACCCACGTACGCCTTGGTCTTCCCAGTGGTCTCTTTCATTGTGGCTTTCCCACCAATATCCTATATGCATTCCTCGCCTCCCCCATTCGTGCTACATGCATGCGCTTCCAACCTCGTCCTCGACTAGTGATCCTGAACACAGTTCAAAAATATAATTAGGTTGGTGAGGAAATAAATACTTTTACAGCCAGAGCTCGTGTACTGCAGACTACAAGAGTTCTAGTAATAAAAAGCCATGGTAGAAGTTGGGCAAGGCGGGAGCACTCAAAACAGTTGATAAGTTAGTATACGTTCTTACCGATTGTGCCCTCGGCTATTTTAAATTTAGTTCATGCAGTATGCGTAGAGATGGCAGAAGCATTGAACAGAGGTGGCGTGGCGGCCATGTTGCCAACAAATAACATGGGATTTTCACGGAGCTGATTGGAATTATTTGCGTATACTTCGATCAAGTAATTACGTCTCATGCCACCAGATGTTGCTATGTGATGTTTCTCCGATCCAAATTGCCATCCCTTGGTCTTTGATACATTTTATATGTAATTAATTTTTGTTGTTGCATTACATGTGTCGTAATTTTTATCACGATCCGTGTTGTTCACAAGCTTCGGTTTGTTGCATCTGTGGGAGTTTCTGTACATTTCGTGTGTACGTAGGTGAACCGTGTTGTGGAGTGAGAGTTTAGAAAAGTTACTTGCATTTGTATGCAGTATCGACGACTGTCAGAAAAACCAGTATTTGAACCATGGTTGGAGTTCTATGAAGTCATATCGATGTGGTTTATAAAGTAATTTTTGTACTAAATGCAAAATGTATAACTGTTCCTGTTTTTAATTAATACGAATCGCTTAACCTCAAATTTGTTTTATGTTTCACCGTAAAAGGGAAGATATCACCAAGAAGACCAAGACGTAGGTGGGTGGATAATATTAAAATGGACCATAGATAAGATGGGTTGGTATGGACGGGATTGTTCTGGCACAGGATGGGTCCAGTGGATGGCTCTTCTGAGCACGGTAATGAACCTTCAGTTCCATAAAATGTTGGGAAATTCTTAAGCAGATGCACAATTGACGGCTTCCCTAGAAGGGTTCAGCTTCATGGAGCTAGGTAGTTTCTCTGTAAACCAGTGTGTATACAGTTAGTTATCCTCCATATTGTGACACCACTTAGTTTATCGGTGGACATCAATGTTCTGGAGGATCATGGTAGTTCTATGTTTGGGGTCAAAGTGATCAGGGTATTGTCACTAGCACCGAAAGTTTTGGCCTTGTGGTAGCTCTATTGACTTATGTAATGAAGTGTTGGATTGGAATGGTGGTCAGAACACTGGCAATCCTGAGAGATTCTTCATGGATTTCTCTCAGCTCCTCCAGTGAAATGCTGGGAGACTATCTTGAATAGGCCATGACAGCTTCCCTCTAAATAGTTTTAATTCCATCATTCAACACTATGTATTTTAGCTACTGCCAGTCCCATAAAATGGTCAAAAAATGGGGCAAAGACACCAAACACTTTTGCATACCCTATGTGATTGACATTGACTACATTACCATTGAAATAAACTCCGTTGTTTAGTAAACCATTTTTTGGTTGCTGAATGCCAAACAAATGAAGCCTGTGTTACAGGTAGAGCTAGGTTCAAGAAAATTGACATTTTGCTTTTGAGCCCATGATGTCCATACTGTTTTTGTGAAGTTACCATATAAACAGTTTTATTTTTATTGGATAAGGCCTTTCTTAGTGAATATAAAAAGAATCCAACTATGCAAATGCTATCAAGGCACACATCTGTACATATTTACATACATAGAACATAAAAATCACTTCTTTCGTGCTAAAGTGGACTGAAAATGTGTAAATCTGTTAAACTTTTAAATATATATTTTTCATTATATATATTATGTGCATGAGAAAGTAAGAGAAAAGTGACAATGGCTGCCTTCATCAGCCTTCCCATGTTATCTTGGTATCAAGCCCTGATGTGCTGTTGACCAGCTTGTGACATACGGTAAGGCACTTTCATTCTCCCCATAATGTTACCTCCTCTCTGAGAAGAAGCTCAGCCCAGACTCATGGATAATGTGACAGGTTATATAAGCTCGATTACATCATACATGATTAACATAGAAGTATGGGGGCGATGGAGGAAGAGACCCGTCCAGGTGAATAAGGACAACAAAATAGAACTGTACCCAAATCACCTTAACTTTGAAGATATAGGCAGAATTTTCCTCCAAAATATGAATAGCCACCCACAAGACTATATAGTATCACCGCAGAAAGTTACAGTCTGGACCTTGCTGCCATGAAAACCTGAAAGCCTATATCATTCTCAAATTGTTTGATTTAGGAGAGTTAGAGTTTGCGGTATGAAGTTGTTCATAGAAGTAAGTGAGAATTTTAGGACTTCACTGATCATTATACATGTAACTGATCCAGCATTTAACAGCAGTGCACAGTGTTAGATATTTATGGAATTTTCAAATTAAATAATTGAATGCCTAACACTGATATTTGGTAATCTTTCTTGGTATGTATAAAGAAAGTACAGAAAATTGTTTCCTGTAGTGTACAGCATTAGGTTTGTTTATGCCCTTCAGTGGCAAAATATTCTGTGAATTCTGAAATAGTGTTGATTAATTAAATTACAATGTTAGTGCAGATGAGTGTAAATGAAACACAAATGCTGATTTAGTTGTACATGTAATTGTACTATTTTGTAAGCTTTACATAGATTATGGCATTATTGCCAGTATTGCACAAAACTTTCTTGAATGTTATTGCAAATGAAAAGAAAGATGTCTAGGAATGTAGTAATATGTAAAGCAAAGACAATATCATTAATAACTTCAGAGTAAAAATATTATTTTATAGTGTGCAACCTGTTGTGTGTCATAACTATATTGTTAGGTAATGTATCCATCAACACAAGAAGGAAAATGATACCCACTTCCACATCATGAGAGGCTAAAATCAACCTGGATTCAAATGATCTACCACACTTCAGAACCTTCATGAGGAATTAACTTCATATATACATAATTTTATAATACTGTTTTAATTTTTAAATATTTTTAATACTTTTTAACATTTTTAGTTATTTTACCCTTGTAATATACAGCTCTTTTTCCGTATTATAAAATCCTGTGTTATTAACCTTTAAACGCCAGACTTCTGAAATGATGGCAAGCTTGAGCTGGCCAGAGTTTATTTAAATGTCCACTGTTGGTGCGCATTTAAATGCCAATTGCTACTCTGCATTTAAATGTTTGTTCCTGTTTGGGTGCTTAAACAATTTTAAACATTGTGATTAAAAATGCTGCATCTAACACACTTTTTATAATAAATGGATGGAATTAACTTTGTTTGTATCAGCAAAGGACATACCGTATGTCCAAAAAGTATCCGACTTTATTTTTTCCCGCTGTAAGTAATGGGCAAAGGGGTGGGGAAACTAAGCATAGTGGTAGAAGGGACTTTCATGCACATGCGTGATTTTTTGCTGATTTGCCACACTGCCGGATGCGTCTGTGACTGCCAGATAGCGAAGTGGTGTAACACATGTTTGTCACATTCTCATTTCACTCAAGAGGACAGAACACTTGGAGCAGCAATACTGCATTAAGTTTTGTCAGAAACTTGGGGATACCCAAGTGGAAATAATGCGCAAAATACAGCAGGGGTCACTCAAATTAAAGAGTGGTTCAACCACTTTAAACATGGCCATATGTCAGCGGACACTGAGCAGCGTTCCAGGAGACCGTCAACGAGCCGAAATGCTGATGTCATTGAAAAAGTGCGGACACTGATCATGGAGGACCGTCGTTTGGCCATCCATGAAGTTGCTGATGAGGTTGGGATCAGCAGAGGTTCTGCAAACACAATTTTAACTGAGGATTTGGGCATGCGAAGAGTGGCGGAAAAATTTGTGCCCAAGCTGCTTTCGCCGGAGCAGCAACAACTCAGTCTTGAGGTCGCACAGGACATGCTGGAGTGTGCCAACAGGGATCCTGAGTTCCTGAAGAGTATGATCACTGGTGACGAGTCGTGGGTGTACGGATATGACCCGGAAAATAAGGTCCAGGCATCACAATGGAAGCATTCAGCATCCCTGAGGCCCAAAAGAGCATGACAGGTTTGGAGTAATTTGAAGGTGATCCTGACTGTTTTCTTCGATTACCGGGGTGTTGTGCATCATGAGTATGCACCACTAGGCCAGACTGTCAATAAGGAGTACTACCAAGAAGTCCTCCACCATCTTCGTGATGCAGTTTGGCTCAAGAGACTGGAGCTGTGGGACGCACAAAACTGGCAGCTGCATCATGACAATGCCCCAGCTCATTCATCACACCTGATCCAGGGTTTCCTGGCCAAGCACGGCATTCCGCAGGTTCGCCAAGCTCCCTACTCTCCTGACATGGCTCCTTGTGATTACTGGCTGTCCCCGAGATTGAAGACACCGCTAAAAGGCTGCCGTTTTGACAGACTCAAGGACATCATACAGAACGTGACGGCGCAGCTGCACGCCATTCCAAAAGAAGCCTTCCAGAATTGCTTCCAGCAATGGAAGGATCGCTGGGCTAAGTGTGTGTGGAGTCACAAGGGGCCTACTTTGAAGGCGATTAGGTATTGTAACTACCCAGATACAGAACTTTTTTCCCTGGCCCAAGGTCAGATACTTTTTGGACAGAGTAGCAGTGTCTCATATTATAACGGAAGATTTGAAAATCTTTATACAAAGAGTTATATGCTATTTTCAGTTGTTTTTTTGTTTTGTTTGATACATACTGCAAAAATGGTTTCCCAGTTCTTCACAGAATTGTTCTGCATTATAAATTCATTTCTGTTTGTAACACCTGACAAATTTTAGCAGTCCCTGGTGTCATAAAACAGATGGAAGCGATAAAATCATTTGGTCTTCTGCTAGCACTGCTTACACTCTTCAGATTTTTGACTAAAGGACAGAACAATGAAAGAATGGCTATTCAAGAGAAAGCTAGAGGGGTCCCTTCTTCAGTGTTAAGACCTTCCGTTATAGCTGCAAGAGATTATTACCCTTTCTAGGGTCGTGGACAAACAGTTGCCTCATGGCTAAGATACAGAGTGTGATCTGTTATCTGTGCGTTCAATGTGAAATTGAATACTATAGTTTCATTTCAGCCTATATATACATCAAGCAGATAACAACAAAAAAGGTGTGTACATCAAATTTTACTATATATTTTTAAAACATTAATCTTCAGAATCTGCAATAAAAGTCTTGGCTCTTGGATGAGTTTGGGCATTACTCTACATCAAGTTCTTTTTTGCTGTTGTTCACTTAGGTATCATTTTAATTCCTCGATTATGGTTTTACTCAAGTCTGTCTGGTAATTACTACATTTAAAAATAAATATTTAGGACTGTGCATGCTCTTCTACTAGCTGTGTACTCGTGCGCTTCCACTAGCGGAGTTTAAATGCCAGACCGGCCAAAACGGGGTACTTTGGCCACAACAACCTTATTCATCACTGGCCCGATCGGGGCACTTCAAACCTTAAAGGTTAATATACAGTAACGTTTAATTACCTCCACTAATATTTTAAATACAATTTTTTGTATACTGTAATACTTCTAATATTTTTCTGTATTGTAATTGTCATCATAACACAGTGCACAGTTTTTTTTACAGCTTTTACAGTTTTTATAATTGGGATGTGTTGCACCACAATATGGATCCATATTGAGATTTCAGTTAACTTTATCGTATTTATTATATACACTGACTGATGATGGTCCCATGAGGACCAAAACATGTAGCGGTAAACAATAAAATTCAGTCTATGAGATAATGGTTTTAATTGTGATACTATTTTCCTCATTGTGTTGACGGATACTTTACCTAACCATGTAGTTAAAAATACCTTCTTATTGTGCTAATGCAAGATTAGATTTTGTTTCATGTAACAGATAATGCATAAAACTGATGAATTATAACACAGCACAAATAATAGATATCATTTTAATTCTGTAAAGTCTCCAACAGAATGTAGCCTTGACTTCTGAAAACAGAGACCATTAATAAATAAAGAGCATAGAGATATGAATAGAATAATATGATAATGTTAAAACCAAATTTGCTGTCAGTAGTTTAATGTATTTTCTTTTTTTCATCCATCCATCCTTCATTTATATCACATTATGTTCCAAAGTAGTTTCTTCATGCCACATTACTACTTTCATTGCCCAGAGTTATCATTTTAGCTTAGCTGAAATTAAGAGAACTTGTACTTTAATTTGCACATTTTATTGCAGCATTTTTCAAATCTGGCATTCAAATTAATAAAACATTTCTCTGAGAATCAGTTACCTGTAAGTTGCATTAAAATTATTGTATATTTATACATTAATACATAATATTAATAGTACATTATATATATAGCTTCTGTAAAGCAGAATTTTTGGACATTACTTTGATGACTTGCATCTATCAGCTGTATTGCATGATGGATTTTTTTTCTGTGAGTGATTGTGATCTGTAATATTTTTTTTTTATATATTTGTGTGAAGCTCATTAATGTTGTTAATGATATTACTAATTTTTGATGAAAGACATTTGACTAGTGTGTGTATCAGTTTCTTCACATTCTGTAGTGATTGCTGATTAATCTGATTCCATAAATCAACAGTTTGTAGTATTCACCAATTCTCTGAACTCATAAAGTCTGTCTGTATTGGTGCTGTTATTTATGATGTGTAACCATGTTGTTCGTTTATAGTTGTTAACCCTGTAATAAGAACTGAAGTATATTTTGCTTTCGGCAGCAACAATGTGGCCCATGCTACTTGATATGACAAGAGATGAATGCAAACGCATCCTCCGACGCTTGGGTAGGTATCTCCATGAAGGTGAATGTTAAGAAATAATTGGATCTCTATAATTTACAAATATTTTGAGGCTGTGTTTTATTTATATATATGTATTCTCCACTTTAACACTTTCATTCCCAGAAACTGAGCTGTTGACTTACCTACCAGCTGAGCCATTTTTGCAGTACACTTGCAGCTTGTTTCATATCAAGGCAAAGAAATTTGTAACAAAGGATCTGCATGTGTTGAATGTACAAAATGTAGTATGTATGTACACCATGTAGTGACAGAGGAAAAGGCTACGTGCACAAAGTTGTTTTGAATGGGAAATGTTTTGTTTTGTCATGGTATGTGACCACCTGACTGTGGTCAGATATGGTGGTGTGTGCAAAGCAACAGTAAACGATCAACTCCTGATAGGTGAGAGCAAAAGAGATAACTGTTTAAAGTCACTTTTTAGGGATGCAGTTTGACTTTCACATAACCACAAGAAGACAAGTCTAATGACCTGAGAGTGGGTGAATTTGGAGGCCAATAAATCAGTCCATTGTCCACCCACTTATTCAGAAACTGGACAGTTACTGAAATACAGGGATGTGCCATCTCACTGGAACATGATACTAGGATGTTCAAATACACATCACTGTTAATTTTTTTATGTGAAAGGAAATACACCTATTGCCTCTGTCCTTTTGATAACACCCCACAGACATTCACCTTAGAGGAATATCTTGTATTTTAGAAATCACTGGATGGACTAGAATACCACATTTAACACTTATGACTGTTTGCAGTTCAAAATATGACTGCTCAGACTGTCATCTTATAAGTATATGCATATCGGTATAGCAAATTCAAAGTGAGTTTATATGTCAGCTTCATTAATGTGTTGCATCATATCAAACAATACAGTGAAAATAAATCTATAAACTGTTATCTCTAAGTCACTGTTTGTTGTGTTGTTCTGTCTCATCAAATTCAATTAGACACAAACATTCTTCCGCCAATACATTACATTTTACTGATATGTTCTGGAAGTACCAGATTCAAATCTTGGCCCATAGGTCAACTATCCTGACTGAAGGTTTTCATGGTTTTCCTCAGCCCGTACAATACCTTGAAATTTTCCACCACCGATTTTCTTTCCCTTTTATTATTAACTCTTTGACTGGCGCGAAGGGTATTTAAATCCCACCCCTGTCCTGGCAGGCCCTTTAAACCTTATGTCGCTAAAATGCATGTAGTTACTTTTTCCTAAACAACTTCAACAAAAATTGGTTTTTAAAAACGAAATTTTCAGGAACTAATTAAAATACAATATTTTATGCAATAAATGCCTTTCCATACCTCTTTATTAGTTTTTCTTCGTGTGATAAACATTGAAACATGAAAGTTTGCAGAGAGCCACACCACAGCCTGCACACATGATACTTGTTTCTTTTCTAATCTTGTGCTTAGCACTCACGCGACACTTTCTCAGGGCACCATTCTTCTTGTTACTGGGAGGAACATGGACCATTTTGTGAATTTTCAAGCCACCCTCTAGACGATTTACTGGCTCTTTCACTGGTGGTCTTTTCAAGGTCGAGGGCGGAGGCGTGACTGCACTCGAGTCTGACGCAATAGATTCGTCATCCACTTCATTCCTTGACTCTTCTCCCTCTCCACCCTGTTTGTTTGGTTCAGTCATTTTTCTACACAGTCCAATATAAAATCTTTGAATCTGTAATTTCTCTTCTTGTATTTTTCGTTTGTTGTGTTCTTTTTGAATAGAATGAAACTATTCAACCGCAAAGACATGTTTTGTCCATACCATGGGTGTGAAATAGGGGCCTAGTGGACAAATATTCTTCAATTTCAGGGCGTTTGTCGATTCCTGTCATGAACACAATTCCTAAGTATATCCAGATTTCATCTGATGTGACATACGACTGTCGTAATTGTAATTGTGTTTTTGAGAGTGAGGAGCTGACTCATGTGTGTTGAAGTGCTGGTGAGCATAGCGATTGGTTTCAGTTGTGATGTGATTTACCAAGTCGTCATCCAGAAAAAATTTTAATCCATGAAAAGGGATGCATTTTATGTGTTATATCAATTTTGATCCCGAAACTATTAGCAAATGAAAATATTGGGGGTACAATGTCTCCGTACGTTCATGAGATGGGCGTGTCAGGCACCGCACTCGTGGTAGGTAAATGTTCATGATTACTGTCTTGTGGATCATTGTCTATCACTGTATTATTGTCACTATCAACTTCATCCAATTCAGGAATCATTATTTCATCGCCACTATCATCATCAGAACAAATCTCGTTCACAACATTTTCCAGCTGGTCTGTAGGAACACGAAGACACTTGCTGCAAGAAGCCATGGTGAAACTGAATGAATGTGAAATATTTTCTGACCTTTACCTTCTCAGAGGGTTCTGACAGTAATATAGACCTCCACAAAGTTTACAAGGGTTCTTTACAAACATGCACAAAAACTATCATATATATGTCTTTGGTTGATGAGTGCCAAGAGAGCAAAGAAGGGAAGAGATTGTCAAAGCGTTAAAACACGCCAACGCCAGGGAACGGCTGGCATCGTCCGGGCGTTAAAACACGCCCGCGCCAGTCAAAGAGTTAATAGGAGGATACATACACAAGTTATTTTATTTTGCCCCCCTCCCTTTTTTTTCCCAGAGTTAGAAGCATATAGCAGTTTGGTGTCTGCATTGCGAGCACAGGGAGAACTCAGCAAGGAGAAGCGTAAACTTCTCCAAGACCTTGCCTCTACCCTCAATATATCAATGGAGAGGCATAGAGCTGAGGTACGAAGAGCTGTAAATGATGAAAAATTAGCCACTATTGCTGAACAGTAAGTAAATCTGATTATGTTAAACTATTTTGCATTAATTTGGCTGTATTAACTCTCTGTAGTGTGCAGACAGGTGCCTGTTTATGATAATCCATGAGAGTAACCCTTCATATTCCTCACTCTTAGCACTGATCAGTTTCCTCCTGTTCCAGTCACTCAGAAAGACACATTTAGGTGGCATTACCTTTTGTGTAGTCTTTGCACAGAGTGTAGAAAATGAGCATTTGAAGGTGAGGTCATGTCTGTCCATGTGATTGTTTGATCTCAAACTCCTGAGCAGTTTTCAGTGAAATTTTGCATTGGAGGCTGAGGTCCATACCAGAAATTGTCAGGTGACTATAATTTTGACACATGTTTCTGCAAAATGAGTCAAGCCCTACCATATCATCATCATCATCATCAGTAATCTGTCAGACGACAGGTCCACAGTCTCTTCCAAAACAATTCCTCCACTTATTGCGATCTAGAGCATTCTCCTTCAAATGACAGTATCCTCTTCTGTCCCCAAGGTCATCCAGCATCTTCTTACGTCTTCTTCCTCGTCTTCTTGTCACTTCTATCCGCCCATCTATCTTTCCTTCGATAGCTTCTTTTAGAAGGCAGTTTCTGCGTAAAACATGACCAATCCAATTAGCCTTCCGTTTTCTTATTTCATGTAGGATATTCCTCTGCTCACTGACTCTAATTAACACTTCTTCATTTCTCACATAATCGGTCCAACTGATCTTCTCCATTCTTCTCCAACACCACATTTCGAAACTTTCCAGATGTTTCTGATCTACTGCCCTAAGCGTCCATGATTCAGCCCCATACAGACTGTGCTCCAAATGTATCATTTCACTAGTTTCTTCCTCAAATTTAAGTCCAGTTTGCTGGTAAAAAGATTCTTCTTCTTGCTAAATGCAGCTTTTGCCATGACAATCCTGGATTTAATTTCACTAGTAAACCTTCCATCGTCTTTTAACAAATACCCAAATATTTAAAACATTTCACATTCTCCAGTTGTTTTTGGTCTATCTTTATTGTGACTGGGGTTGGTTGTCTCGAAATTTTCATTACTTTTGTTTTCTCCACATTCATTTCCATGCCATAGCACCTTCCAATTTCAATTAGTCTATCAATCATGCCCTGTAGCACAGTTTCTTCCTTAGCCATTAACACAAGGTCATCTGCATATTTCACAGTTTGAATAATTTGCCCTCCTACTTTGAAGTCACCGAGCCCATCCAGAGCTTCCTTGGTAAGGCATTCGCTGTACAAGTTGAACAGAATTGGTGATAAACAGCATCCTTGTCGAACTCCTCTTCCAATCTGCACACTTCCTGTCTCCCCCGTGTCCAGTCGTACTCTAACTTTCTGATCCATGTACAATTTGCTAATCAATCTTCTTTCATGCCAATCGATACCTGTTTCTTTCAGGATCTGCATTAATTTGGTCCAGTTTACCCGGTCAAATGCCTTCTGCCAGTCTATGAAGCAAACACACAGTTCTTCATCTATCTCCAAAGTTCGTTCCGCTATAATTCTCATCATCCCAATTGCATCCCTGATTCCTTTTCCTCTTCTAAATCTGAACTGCTCTTCTCCAAGTATATCGTCTATTTTCCTTTCAATTCTTCTTTTAAGTATCTTTGCTGTATGTGCAATAAGGCTTATTGTGCGATGGTCGCTGCATTTTGTAGCTTTTGTCTTTTTCTTTAAGGCAATCATTGTAACTTCTGTAAAGTCCTTGGGCCACTCTCCAATTTATATAAGGTTCAAATCACACTTCCTCATTTTTCTAGCAAATGGCTCATAAAAAAATTGGTACATAATATAAAATACAGGTATCATTAATATCCAAAATTATGTCCAAAATATTCTTAAGTTTGATGTATGGAAACAATATGCAGTGAAATAATTGTACCTTTTAGCAGTAGATTTGTTCTGTTGTCATCTTTAATACTTATGTTCTGAAGAAGAAAAAGAAGAAGAAGTAAGAAGTATTTACATTGTAACATTTATCATATTTTAAGGCACAATAGATCACTGTGGTCACAGTGCAAGGGCCTAGAAGGTCCACCCCTTATACATTCATTTATCATATTTTGGAGCAGATATTTTCAGTAGCCACTTGGTGTCAGCTTGCCTAGTTCAACACTATTTCACTGCATGCCACTGCACAGCATCTTGTTGCTGCTGGTACTGAACTAACTTCTTGTCTCATGGTACACACTGTTTCTCCACACTGTACTGTGCTTCCAAGCTGGTACTCAAATTAGCTATGCAACTTTTAAGCTCCACAACACATTTAACCATGCAAAGTAATTCTGGAAACATCTCACCAGCAATGCAGGCTGGACAGTCTGCAAACAATCTAGAAACTGACTGGGAGAGGGAGTTGTGTGGCAATATTTGTATGTAATTTCCCAGTTAAGATTTGGACCAAAGAAAATAAATGTGACAGGAGGTTGGCGAAAACTGCATGATGAGGAGCTCCATAACCTGTACTCCAAGTACAATAGGAATGATCGCAAGTCAAGGTGGATGAGGTGGGCATGACATATACCATGAATGGGGGGGATGAGGATTGCATATAGGATATTGGTGGGAAAGCCAGAAGGAAAGAGACCACTGGGAAGACCAAGGTGTAGGTGGGTGGACAATGTTAAAATGAATCTTAGAGAGATAGGATGGAATGGTATGGTATGGATTGGATTGGTCTGGCTCAGAATAGGGACCAGTGAAGGGCTTTTGTGAACATGGTAATGAACCTTCAGGTTCCATAAAATGCTGGGAACTTCTTGAGTAGCTGCAGAATTGGCTGCTCCTCAAGGAGGGCTCAGTTCCATGAGTAAGTACGAGGGTCATACTGAAAGTCATGAGCAACAATTTTTTGTAGAGTAACATGCTTTATTATTGACAAACCAAATACACCACCTCAATCTACAGACCTTTCTTTATTTTTCCACATAATCACCACTTCTTTGTACACATTTCTTCCAGCGTTCTGGGAGTTCGAAAATTCCCCTTCTGTAAAATTCCGTTCTAGGCATCCAAAGACACTGATGCACTGCTTTCTGAATTACCTCCCTTGTCTCAAAACGTTGTCCATGCAGCTGATCTTTCACAAATCCGAAAAGATGGTAGTTGGAGGGTGCCAGATCAGGGCTATAGGAGGGGTGTGGAAGAACTTCCCACCCCATCTTTGCAATTGCTTCCAATGTGAGGCCAGTGGCGTGGGGGCGAGCGTTGTCATGCAGGATGATGATGATGATGTTTCATCCCGGATGTTTATCGTGCAATGCACAATGGAGCTTGTGCAGCGTCTGGACATAATGAGCAGCATTGATGGTTTCCCCAGGTTCTCAGGAATTCGACCAGAATGAAACCCTCTGCATCCCAGAAGACTGTGCCCATCACCTTCACAGCTGATGGCACTGTCTTTGCCTTCTTTTTTGATGGAGAATGCAAATGGTGCCATTCCATACTCTGCTGTTTCGTTTCAGGCTCAAAATTGTGAAACCAGCTTTCGTCATCTGTCACAATACAGAGCCAAAAATCATCACCTTCATGTCGATATCTCTGCAGCAGTTCTGAGGTGATGGCTTTTCCCTGACCTTTGTGGTCTTTGGTCAATAACCGTGGGACCCAACAAGCACAAACTTTCCTATAGCCCAAGCTTTCGATCATCTCCTGTACTGCACTTGCCCTATTCCAAGTTTTTGGACTATTGTGTCCACAGTCACACGCCTGTCAACTTGAATGATCTCATCCACTCTTTCCTTGTTGCATTCAGTTGAGGCTGTTCGAGGACGACTGCTCCGAGGCTCATCTTGGATGCTGGTGTTCCCATCTTTAAAATGTTTGACCCATCTTCGAACACTGCTCGCACCCATGCACACACTTCCATAAGCACGCTAAAGTCTGGTGAATTTCTGCAGCATAGATTTCCTCTTTCACAAGAAATTCGATGACAGCACGCTGGAGAAACAACATATCGTCGGCCATTTTGTTAGGAGTGATACTGGTCACGTGATGCAAGCTATTGACGTCACAAGACACTCGAGGTTAACACAGCGGTTTCCACCTACCACTATACTCTCTTTCATCTGCTGTTCCCAGGTTGCATGCAAAAAGAAGTTGCTCATGACTCGGTACAACCTATGTACAAGTAATTTCCAAGTTAAGAAACAAAAGGCTTATCTGTTCTTCTATCTGAAGTGGTAGTGAGATACCGGATAGAAATAATGCAATGATCTGCACTAGATTAACTGTGCTAACACTAGATTTGCATGTTGCTTCTCATTAGTGATTAGTACTCTTTTCTGCCAAAAATGTGCAGCAAAAAATTCAGAACATGAAATAAAGATAATTCTTGCCATATCTTTATGTGCTCTCCGAGTTATAAGACCATCACCCTCAAAAAATTGCTTCATTGTTATGTGAGAAGGAAGTCATTAATGAACTGCAAAGGAAAGTAATGTATATGTTTGTTTTTGATTAGTTTCGTTAGCAGTACATTTGTATCATCTAGAAGGAAAATAAAATAGCGTTTTATTCCTGATCATCTGTATGTAAGGTAGAGATATATATTGCTCTCTATTACAGTAATTTAATTTTCATATGTGCCCCAGTTGTTCAGCACAGGATGACCAAGACAAAGCATATGAAAAAATCCATTAGTATCTCAAAGAAATTAATGTCAGTGCTATAGAGAAATGCATTTGGAAAATACATGTGTTCTGTTGTATGCCTTTTTACTCTTGTGAGTCTTGATATTCTCATGGCAGTGATTGTGAAGTTTGCTGTCATCTGAAATGTGACACCATGTAATAATTTGGTAGATAGGTACAAACACCTTGCTGCCTCCATCTTCTGAGTAGAAGAAATGAAAAGAAGTATCTTCTACCATGAAAGCAGAGACAGCACATTCCTCTAAAGTGTTGGTATGTATCAACCAAACTACATGGTATCACATAACAAAATACAGAAATCTTTTCACTCTTGTCAGATGAAGGCAGTGTGTAGGAATGGCTTTGAGACAGATGCTGAAGAATGTGTGTGAAATGTAATGGGGTCCATATTAAAGGCTGAAATTAGTTACATGTTTTGGTTATTACATGACTGGAAACATTTATACTGATTTATGTGGCTTTCATTTTATTTACTCTCAAACATTCTGTCACTTGAGTGAGGAGCATATTGGAGCACCTCACAAAACTTTATTGCACTACTGGAAACAGTAAACAGTGTATATAATATGGTTTAAAACAATGGCAGTTTTGTACAAAAAATGAAGCAATATATTAGGTATTTTAGTCATTAAAAACTGTAACTTTATGTACCTCCATAAAATGCAACCTGGTTGCAACAGAAGAAATCCAGTCCCATGTGTTCTGTTTTATACAAGTTTTACTATGTATGAAAAAAAAATTGCCTTGTATTCAGGCTAATATAGTATGTCTTTTATTGTGGCCTGAATGGTTGCTGACCCATGCACTATTGAAACTCTCATGATATGAGGGTATGGTTTAGTGTACAATGATTGCATTATGCAACCTGCTGTTGCCAGATTATAGTCCAATGGCTGTATGTTCATAGACAACACTAAGTGCACATTAACCCTCACCAGGTGTACATATGATAAGCATTACAGCATCCAGCTGCCAGCAGTTTTATTGTAACAAGAATTAACTTTCCAGGTATTATTATGGCATGGAGTAAATAAATATATATTCTTTTATGTTTCTTATTGAGTGCATGTTACTCCATTTTTGTAGTATTGCTGGTCCAAATACGTCAACTGACTGGGCAATTGAGGGACGCAGGTTAATCCCATTGATGCCGAGATTAGTTCCTCAGACAGCCTTTACAGCATTAGCCAACAATGTTGCCAATATTGCTGCAGCTGAAAATGCTAGGCTCCCACCTCCAGCAAATACAGTGAAGAAGAATCGTAAGTTTAAGTTACAGGTTTCTTTTTGCCTGAATATATTCGTACATCTATGCTCCTCAGTCTTTTTCTTTTTTGATCACATCTCTTAACTCTTTGTAGACAGAGGCTGGTCACCCTTCTCATGGGAATAATGTGAACCCAGTATTTTTTCACTGTATGTTTGTACAAGGGCTAAATATGAGAAGAGATAGTGAATTAGAAAGACTTTTATTTTTGATTGAACTTAAACATTTTTTCCTTTAAAAACATTGAACATTTGCAACAGAAAAGAAATAATTTCAAAATGTAAACACTAACACTGTTTGTGTGGATGGACATAGATGTGCATGTTAACAGTGCTGTCTCATTGTAGTAATAGTGGCAACTGTAATGAATCATGTACTCACTTCTTTCTGTTTTCACTTAAGGAAATGGCTTTAAGCCTATTAGCTTTGTTGCTAGATAACGTATACAGTTGTGATGCATGACCATGTGTCAGTTTATTAAGAAAAAAAAAGTAAAGCTATCCCTGTAACAGGCCGTGAAGGCCCATAGGGTTGTGAGACGTTGAGGGTCCCACATTATCTAGACAATCGGCTCAAAGATGGTGGTAAGGTTGTCAGTCTTACGCGCCGGCCACGCTTTACTCCCCAGGAAAATTATTTAATTAATTCCTCATACTCATTTCTGTTAGAGGCTGAGTTGACCCCAAGGCCATAATGCTGCTGGAAGGATTAGGTCAATTGAAAAAATCCAGTGACCTCATCGGGACTTGAACCCACGCCCTTCCGCCCTGTAGCATAGTGCCTCAACCAACTACACTACCGCATGCCCCTGTCAATTTAGTAAATATGTTATTTTGAATACTGTAGCTGATTGTGTTACATAATACTGTCAACATGATGGAGTGACTATAGACACGGTTCAGATTGGTAATTTGATTTATAGAACTCTTATAGATCTGTGACTACAAGTAATTATGACTTTTTCACTATGAATGAATGAATGAATGAATGTATAAGAGGTGGGCCTTCTTGGCCCTTGCACCTCGACCACAGTGATCTATTGTGCCTCCCCTTTTGATTATTCCCTCAACAATCCTGCACTTCAAATGAAGCGTAGGATTTTGTACGTGGGGACATTGAAATAGTCACCTGGTTCCATAAAATATTGACCCAAGTGACGCAATCTTAAATAAGCTAAGGCCTCACATTCGCACGGGATATGTGTGGCTGTTTCATTTTCTTCTTGACACCTCTCGCAAGTGGGACTATCACTTAATCCCAGTTTGAAGAGGTGTCCTTTAAGGTGACAGTATCCTGTAAGTGGTCCTACCACCCATCGTAGCTGGTTCCTGTTTAACTTCAACAGTTCCTTCATTCTTTTAGTAGAGGGTCCTTGTATGAGTCTCTTTGCTTGCCTGAGTCCAGTCAAGGACCCCCAGTATTTCATGTGATTCATGTTTGTCCAGTCCCTGATTGCCTTTCTGGCAACTCCTGTAGAGATGCCACAGACTGGTTCAGGTCCTATGAATGGATGTTCAGCTCCAGTCTTGGCCAATTGGTCTGCTATTTCATTTCCAGCAATACCCTCATGCCCTGGCACCCATATCAGTTGTACCCTGTTATGTTTGGCTAGTTCCATGAGAGTTTGGTGGCAATCCCAGACCAACTTTGAGTTGATCTGGTGTTTGTCAAGCGCTTTAAGTGCAGCTTGGCTGTCAGATAGAATGTAGATGTAGTTCCTATCTACATTCTCTATAATACATGCCTTAAAGGCATATACTTCTGCCTGGAATACTGTCATGTACTTCCTGAGGCTGAAACTATGTTTCCACCTTGTGCCATAGCAGAACACACCAGCTCCAGTGCCCTTATTTATCTTGGAACCATCTGTATACCAGATCAGTCCCCCTTTTGTGTCGGGCCGAAACCCATCTTCCCATTCACTCCTGTCAGGAAATCTGACTCTGAAGGGTTTTTCATATACATGTCTCAGTATCATTTTGTGAGACCCCATTTGTAATATTGGTTCTTTTTTCATGTCCTGAGTCATGTATGCATGGTTGAAACCATCGGATCTAGGTTTCCATTGTTCACTGCACTGGAGACGGTAAATTCCTGCCCTGGCCTCTGCATCCAACTGTACATGCAGTGGGGGGAGTCCAAGGAGTATCTCCAGTGCAGCTGTTGGAGATGTTCGAAATGCTCCTGTGATACCTAAGCAAGCCAACCTTTGCAATTTGCTAAGTACTGTCTTGCTTGTCTTAAGTTTAACTCTGGGCCACCATACTGTGGCGCCGTATGTAATTATGGGTCTTACGACCGCAGTGTATATCCAATGCACAGCGTGCAGCTTCAGTCTCCAAGTTTTACCAAACATGCTTCTGCATGTCCAAAAAGCCTTATAGGGTTTATTGATGACCTTGTCCAGCTGCTTTTTCCATATCAGTCCCTTGCCTGATACTAGACCAAGGTACTTGACATCGCTGGAAAGCTAGATCATCTTATTGAAGAGGGTCGNCTCCTGTGATACCTAAGCAAGCCAACCTTTGCAATTTGCTAAGTACTGTCTTGCTTGTCTTAAGTTTAACTCTGGGCCACCATACTGTGGCGCCGTATGTAATTATGGGTCTTACGACCGCAGTGTATATCCAATGCACAGCGTGCAGCTTCAGTCTCCAAGTTTTACCAAACATGCTTCTGCATGTCCAAAAAGCCTTATAGGGTTTATTGATGACCTTGTCCAGCTGCTTTTTCCATATCAGTCCCTTGCCTGATACTAGACCAAGGTACTTGACATCGCTGGAAAGCTAGATCATCTTATTGAAGAGGGTCGCTTCCTTAAGGCCCTTTATATTTCTCTTCCTGGTAAACGGTATAATTACCATCTTATTAGGATTGATGGAAAGTCTTGTTCTTTCACACCATCGTTGGACCGTGTACAGAGCTGTTTGAAGATGCTCTGATACTGTTGAAAGGAATTTTTCCGTTTATGAGGATTGCTATGTCATCAGCATATCCTCCTGTATAATACCCATCATCATTAAGTCCCCACAGGAGTTCATCAACGACCAGGCTCCACAGCAGAGGTGAGAGCACGCCCCCCTGCAGACAACCCCTAGACGCATGCCCCCTAGGTCTGCATGCCACAATACTGTTAAAATTCTCGTTACAAAAAAATCTTTTCCACACTTTTTGTAATTAATAAAACACATCCCTAAATCCATTTTTGTGAGCAGGATATGGCGCGCTGTAATTCAGGGCAACTTGTCAGTTCTCATACATCATTTGTATTATGCTTACTAAAACACTGTTTCATTTTACTGTAAGAAAACCTGAAGGGAAGAGACACCTTCAGAGACTAGGCATTAAAATGAATCCTAAAAGAACACATTCTGAGGGTGTGGGCTGGATTCAGCTGGCTCAGAGCAGTCTTCGATGGCAGACTGGTAATGAATCTTGGGTCTGATAAAATACAAGGAATTTTTTGACCAGCTAAGTGATTATCAGCTTGTTTAGATGGATTCTGCTCAGTTGGAGATAGTTTAATTATACCATTATTTTTCTTTCTCTCTTTAATTTTAAGCATCCTGATTACATTTGAAATTATAAGAAAATAAATCATTGTACACATCCTTTTTAAGAAGTTCTGTAAAGGACCAAGAAGTCTGGACTTCTTAAGCAGGAAAACATCTTAAAATGGTAGACTTCAAAATGTTTGCAGAATTAATTATGTCCCTTGCAGGAAAGTAATGGAATGTGCATTATGTTTTTACACTGAATAAATGTCTAAAAGCACACTAAGTACACAGGATTTCAAATATACACTGCATGTTCCTGCTGTCATGGTTACATTCAAGTAGTCTGTTCTGAACCATACTTGAAGAACATATTTAGCTTCATTTTTTTCCTCATCATTCAAGCAAATTTGAAGTAAAATTTTCCAGCTCAAAGAGGTTTCTGACTAATAATTCTGGCATGTCAGGAATGCCACTAAGTAAGTGGTAGTACTCTTTAGTCTGAGAACAACAGCATTTTCTGTTTTTTTGGCTGTTCTCCTTTCTAAACATATTAGGAACTCCATGAACAGCACACAAGATATGCATGCTCTGTTGTACGGACTACCAGTAATGGCATCTTTTTATGTCCATCAATATTTGCACATAAAACACAGTAATTCTGTCTTTACTCCTTTTGCCTCCATGACAACTTTCATTTTTAAAAGTGTGTTTTATGTGGGAGTATTCTGAAAAATAACCCACACTCATCTGTTCACTCAGAAAAAATAGAAACATTCCCTCCCCTCTTTCAGGCATCTGCTTCCTCATAATTACACTTAAGGATTTCTTGCTCACTCTTATGTACCTAAGCCATGCACATTTTCTGAATCAATTAAGCCATCCAGTCAAAGGTATGAATTCAGTTTTTTCTGAGCATTAGACATTGAATAGGTATATAGCATGCCCATTTCTGCCTAAGGCACTGTTGGAGCACTGATTCAGGCCTCTCATATTTAGAAGTTTTTAGTTCTTTTGTGCCTGGCTGAGTAGTTACACATTGTTGAAGTATGTCTTTCTTGTCACCATAAGGTTATTTAGCATTGATGATGGTATGCTCAGTTGTTCCTCCTTAATGCTGTCTTGTTTCTCAGAAACTGATTACACTTCACATTTTTTGTTTGTTTTTGTGGTCATTCATACAGCTATATATAATATACGAGGTCAGTTTACTTTCATGCAACCCCAAAATTCAACCCATGTGTTCACCATGCGCACAAAGACCATGCCAATCAGCTAGGCAGATGGAGGAGGTCAGAAAGTCACCATTAATTCTGCCCAACTTCTGCTGCTCTCCAAGCACTAATGAATGCTGCAATGGGTTTGATTTTTGTGAACTTACACTTTGTTTCTCATTCCTTATAGTGTATACAGAATATAATCTGACAAAAACTTACGAAATGGGTGAAATAGTTGATTTGTGTCTTTAAAATTGCTCTTCTTGGGTGAATATCCTTTTAAGTGGGAAATGTTTTAAATGGGCTATAAATACATTGCTCTTTTTATTACTTTTGACACCCAATGATTTTAACCTTTTAGGCACAAAACCATTTCAAATGGTTTCTTTTTAAGCAGAGTCCACTGTATATGATCATGTGTCATTACATTAGTCACACAAGTAATTCATTGTTTGGACTGTGTCCATTAAAGTAGGACTGTTGTTGCAGGAACAAGTTTTGTGAAGTGTTTTGTGGTTTTTGTCTAGCAGTACCCATTGATGAGACTCCTGCGTGTGAACCCAGTGTGCCTGAGGCAACCAAAACTCCTCAGAGATCTGTGAGTCCTGTAGCCTCTAATATGGTGTCATCCATTCAGCTGAAGAAGGAAGAAGAAGATGAGAAATCTAGGAAGAGGCGTCGATCATTATCTGTTGAAGGACCTGGAGTTGGACAGCTTCCATCCCCCACTCTTCCACCTTCTAAAGTAATGCAAATAAAAGAAATTTTCAGGTGAAATAACATTTGTGAGATACATATATCATACTGGAGATTCTGTGATACCATGCATATTATAACTGTCCCATTTGTACTATGTTCATGGCAGCCAGACTATAATTTAAAATTTTCCTTGGATGAATTTTTATTTGAAGTATATACTTTCTAAGATATTTAACTTTCATTAAGGCTTTCTTCATCAACTGCATTTTCTAAATCATATTTTCCAAGTTTCATTATCATAGCTCATAGGCCATTTTAGGTTATTGTACTGTGAGGTTAGAAGCCCTGTGTATTTGTAAAGTTTAAAAATATCAGTATAGTGACTACAAGAACTTTTGAGGTAATGCCTTTAACAGTGTGGAATTTTATATTGATAATAAAGGATGAGGATTCACAAAGATTTTGTGTTAACCTTTGTCAGCTGTATGTCATACTCTTGTGACTGTATACATGTAGGACAGCCTACTAAGAGTGACAGTTTTACTTTTTTTTTTTTCAAACCAGCCTATAACAGCTTTGACACTATAATTTTATGCACTGCTCTGTGCAAACTTCCATTATTCTTCCTACTGTGTTATATTCACCATAAGAATGTGATTCACGGACTGAAAGCCTGAGAGTTCAGTCATGCCCTGTTCGTGTGGTCTTGCTGTTAATCAGGTATTTGCACTCATTTAAGGTTTTGTCAGCTGTAAATGGCATCTGGACTGGATGGAAAACCAAAATATAAATAAATTTCTTGCACGTATGTACTTTTGGAGGGGGATAACCACAGTAGAAAGTTTTGATCACACAATGACCTTCATAGGCTTGTTACTCTAGCTGGCAAATGTGGTAAGTTGCGTTACTCTGACCAAAAATATTTATCTTATTGCCATAAGATGACAGTTTTGGGGACTAAAAAGCTGTTTTACTCAGTCACACTCCAAAATAAGCTGTGCAAATTTTGGAGTGAGATTCTGAACAAACAGTCTCATTTGCAATAAAAGTGAGCTTGATGGGGACTCGGAGCAGTAATAAGAATGAAAGCTGAAGTAAAATATTGTCGGTACTGCAGTACACTTGGAATTCTGTAGAAGTCCCTTCTTTCATCAGATGTCTCAGTGGATTGGGGATGTAAGAGAGACACCAGGTGAGCAAAGATGGCACACCAGTTTACCATCCATCTCTTCATCATGGGAGTGGTCCAGCTGTTGGTGGCAGAGAGTAGTAGATGTTCCGACATACTTCACAGTGATGGTAGATGCTTATGACTTCCTGGCATGACTGTACAACTGTGCTGTATTACTTCAAATTTAAAATGCTCATTTTACACTTTTCCCATTGAAAAATTGAGGTGTGTCTTAAATTCAAGAAATATGTACCTTTCTAATTTTGTTCCTAATACCCACATTTAGAAATTAGATGTGTTTTAAATTTGAGGGTGTCTTATAGTCAAAGTAATATTGTATGCACTTTGGCTATATTAGTACAAATGAGACATGGTGTCAGGGACTTTATCTGTAATGGTATTACAGCCCAGTGCTGGCCTTGATCTAGTCAGTGATGATCCTCCATTGCTTCCTGTCTAGTGCTCTTTTTCTTCCATCAGTGGATTCCAAAAATTCATAGGTCTTGTTTTAAAATTGTATAGTTACCTAGCACTGTCTCTTTATTCTCTCCAAGTATCATATTAGTTTGGAACAGATCACTTTTCTGCTGGAGTGAATTTAATTTCTTTTGAGAGATGTCCTGTCCACTGCTTTCACTGCTCCAGTTATATCTGACATGACATACGTATGTAATTCAGAATTCAGTCTGATTTGCCATAATCTGTTTTCATTAATGGGACGTTACATTTTTTAAAGTTTTTCTTCAGAGGTCCTTACAGTATGTAAGATTTGAAGTTCTCATATTGGTGGTTATGAAGACTTCTGTCTTCGGGGATATAATGCTATGTTGTCTGTTGAAAGTCAACCAACATTTCAGAGCAACATGCCACTTCCATCTTTGGGTTTTGAAGAATAAGCCAAGGAAGAAACCAACTTGAAGCAGATAGGAGACAGAGCTCTGCTATGATATAATGCATGTAATGATCACAAAAAGATGTTTTTGATATGTTTAGTGTTATTTTGTGGCTAGTACTAGGCTGTACTATTGCACAGGCTTTCCACATACAGATACCAGGCTTGAAGTCTGTCATTCACCACTAATATGTAAGCATGGAGGGGCCATCAGAATTACATTTCCTTAACATATCACTATGAGACCAGTGAATGTTGTTTCAAAAACCATTTACTTGAAATCTCATAGTTTCCAGGTGTCCATACTGCACTTGCTATGTGTGAAAATACTACACAGTGATGAAAGACTGATAACTGCCCACTGAGTCTATTCCAATGTGTGTGTGTAGTAATGGACAAGGCCAGAAAATTGAAAGCAGCATTGCAGAGAATCTGTTGGTATCACTGTTTTTTGTCCATATACTTCAGCTTGCAGTAAGTGATGCCAAGAAAGAATATGACATTGATGATCTTGCAAAAGGGTGTACAATAGTTAGCCTCACCAGCACAACACTGTGGCTTGTGTCAGGCTAAAAACCTTAAGCATCAGCTGGAAATACCTGTACCTGAACATTGACTTGTAGCATTGGTAGCATTGCAGATTTAAGATCATCTGCAGTGAACGGCTTTATCACAAGTGAAAGGAGGCTGCCATGTGGAGCAGTTCAAGTGTTAAGACCTGAAGTGGCTACATTACAATTGTGCTATGAAAATATATCTAGCTTGTCATCTAAAATACCTCTCCGTTGAACTGAATCTGTTCTAAAGTCATAACAGTAATAATTCAGAGGATAAGATTGGATTTTATTTGCATATTCTGTGCAAAAACAGTAAATTCTCATTTACCTCTGTGTGAAAATGTTAAGGAAGGCATAAATGCTATGATTATAGATCCCAGATTCAAAGCAGTATTGCTGATGGGGCTTGAAATAAATGTCTTATGCCATGGGAACTGTAACTTCATGGATGGCTAACTTGATATTGAACCAGAAATACAGAATACAGAGACTGAAGAAATTAAATGGGAAACATCTTTCAGAAAAGAAATCAGTGAGTAAAGAGTTAAAAAAAGATATTTCAAGGAGTGTGCTGTTTCTTGCAAAAGGAACCTGTTCACTTGGTGGCAGGAGAGTAAAATATACTTTGCTCAATTGACTCCACTTTCACAACATTATTTATGTATACCAGCAACCCAACTGGTAGGTGAAAGACTGATTAACAGTGCTGGCAATGCAATTTCACTTAGGCGAGAAAACCTGGTGGGGGAACATGTTGAAGAGCTTGTATTTCTACATGGGAGATCTTCAGAGTCACTTGGCGTATACATGGTACTTGTGTTTCTCTTTTCTGACTGTTATATGTGAGTATATAAAATAGAGGATAACTGATGTATTTCTTTGGCAGTTTTCAGGTTCAACAGGAGCAAAAAGATTATCAGTATAGAAACCCAATGTTCTAAAAGTATGCTATATTTAGTTACGCATTTCTTCTCAGAATCATTTTGAGAATGAAAGTTTCTTCTGTATTTACAGGTTCCCAATATTTCCATACAGCAGCAGCCACCATCAAGAACAGTAGCATTTCCCATGGGAGTGAATCCAGTGAAAATAACTCTCACTACCACACCTGGCAGATCAACTGTTACCACAACCACATCAGCCTCCACAACCCAAAAAGTATGACCTATGTATAAATTTATATTTAAAAACAAACTTCCTGATCATGTATTATGTCAATAGGATTAGTGATTTCTGTCCTACTGAATTATTCTTTTTCAGGAGCTGTGTGGATTGCAATATAGGATTTGTTTGTATTTATATGCTTATCATCGGTATGATTAGCCAGTGACTTTTCCACCAGTTGGATTATCATATTTCAGAACTTCTGTTCTTCTCTGTACTATCTTAATACATCCTATGTTGTCTGTGTCCTTTCTTTCTCTACTCTTTGTGAATACTAGTGAGAAATAAAATGAAAGATATCTGATGACAGGTATTAAATATTAAGCATTAACAAAATTTTTTCCTTCTGTATTGGTCCTAGAATCCTGTTATCTGGGTACTTCATTAATCCTTGGTTCTGTGGCCCTCTAAGAATTTAGTTTCCTGATAACAGATTCCCATTCTTCTCTGTTACTTGTAGTTTCCTCCCACCTGTCAACTCCATCTTGCAAAATGAAGTTCTTTGCTGTAAAGCAAGCCTGTTCCCCCTATGTCATTTGTACACACCAGCCTGTGCTGGACTTAAACATATTCCAGTCTGTCTTTGAATCCCTACAAATAATATCTGCATAGAATTGACATGAGTTCCTGTTTTTGTTGTTTCCACCACACTATATCTTCTTGCTGCTTCGTGGATCTTTGTTTGTGCTGCGTATTTAAAGTACAAGCTATAACTGTGTACCTGATTCTCTTTGTCACATTATTCCGTCTGCAGTAGCATCTTTTTCTTGACATGAAGTGCCATTCTTTTGATGAGGGAGACTTGTGTTAGCACAGAATGTTGTAATATAAAGCAGTGAGTTACAGCCTCTGTTTCTTATCTTGGGTGGTACTTTGGGCAACCCCATGACATTTCAAGGCTTTTACCCAGAAACATACTTCTGTCTCTCTTGCTTTCTCGTGTTCTCCTATCATAGCTTGATAAAATGTACTTTGATGTAAACAAATTAAAGATGTGTAATATATATTTGTATTTAGCTCTCCAATTCACGATGACTGGTAGTTTTATAATTGTTAAAAGAGTGGGTAAAGCTCATCTTCCATTCAGGTAAGTATGATACTGATCTCTTTTGACATCAGACATTGGCGTGCAAAGAAAAATAGTTATCAGAAACTTCTTGAAGTTTGAGACTCAAAGGTGAACATTCAAATCAGAATTGGGAATTTTTTTCTTGATTTCATCATAAGAATTTGATATGCATGCTTAGTATATACTGTATTGAATTGAATTGAATTGAATTTATTTACATTCTATAAATCCTAAGCAGGTTAGTACCTTTGGATACAGAACAAGTCAAAATGTTACATACATAAGTACAGGCAATTTTAGCTTAAAAATTAATATAACTTAATTTTACATCATTCTCTATTTACATTGAAGTATTCATCTAAAGAGTAGAAGGAATGAGCATGTAGATAATTCTTTAACTCTGATTTAAACTTTTTAGTATCATTGCCCAAGTTTTTAATACTTTGTGGCAGATTGTTGAACACTTTTATGCCAGTAAAGTAGACTCCTTTTTGATATACTGATAAAGTTGATGAGGGTAGGTGGAAGTTATATTTTTGTCTAGTATTCATGTTATAGACATCAGAATTTAATTTGAATTTATCTTTGTTGTAAACAACAAATAGGAGAAGCGATAATATGTATTGCGATTGAAGCAATCTGTATCTGTAGTTGGGTATGAGAAAGTAAAGATGGCCTATTATCCTTTCAGTTTAATGGTATGTGAACATCTTTAGAACACAGCTGGAGAATGAATGTTCAACCAATCCAAATAATTGAAAGTCGTTTAGTAATTTTTGAATTTAGAATTGTTCTTGCAGGGTGCCTTGGCCTACAGTCACTTCAGTTAAATATACGTAGGGCAGTCAAAAAGTTCCCGGAATTCCCCTACAGACGGAGAACAAGCAATAAGATAGCATACACACAGTTGTGATGGGGAGCTCAGCATGTCTGCTCGCAGGCGCCACAGATCTGAACAGGTTTCAGTGTGCAGTGTCGTTACTGTACCGTTTTAATTAGATGTGAGTGTTGGTCATTCAGCGCAATGTTGCAGTTGGAACAGCGTGTGAACAAGTTCATGTGCAAATTGGGAAAATCTGCTTCAGAGACGCACTCAGCCCTGCAGTAAGTTTACGGTGATACTGCACTAAAGAAATCCGCAGTTTACGACTGGTTTTCCCACTTTAAAAATGGGCAGGAGACGTTAGAGGATGACCTACGCAGCGGAAGACCTTCGACATCCAGAACCGAAGAAATTGTTGGAAAAGTGCGACAAGTGATTTGATATGATCGAAGAATGACCATCGCAGAGTTGGAGCAAGAAGTTGGTATCTCACACAGATCCAATCATGCCATTTTGTCTGATGATTTGAAGATGAGACGCATCAGTGCGAAGTTTGTTCTGAGGCAGCTGACCACGGATCAGATGGAATGTCACATGATGGTCCCTGGCGATCTGTTTGACAAAAGTACGCAGGACCCAACATTTCTCAAAGATATCAACACTGGTGATGAGTCATTGGTGTTCGCCTGCGACCCGGAGACGAAGATGCAGTCATCGGAGTGGCACACAGCGTCATTTCCCCGTCCAAAAAAATCACGCCTCATCAGATCCAAAGACAAAGTGATGCTCATTGCATTCTTTGACATC